GGATGGACAGATGGGTAGTGTGAAGAGTGGATGGATGGATGGATGGATGGATGGACAGATGCGTAGTGTGACGAGTGGATGGATGGATGGATGGATGGATGGATGGGGAGTGTGAACAGTGGATGGGTGAATAGATAGATTGATGGACAGACAGGGTGATCCATGGATGGGTGGATGGATGGATGGATGGACAGATGCGTAGTGTGAAGAGTGGATGGGTGAATAGATGGATGGACGGATGGGTAGTGTGAACAGTGGATGGGTGAATAGATGGATGGACGAATGGACAGGGTGATCCATGGATGGATGGATGGATGGGGTGATTAGTGGACAGATGGATGGAGGGATGGAGGGATTTGTGTATAGATTAGTGGATGGATGGATGAACAGATGGGTGGCTGGCTAGACAAATGGATGGATCTCCTTTCATCCATCACCCAAACTCTCAGCCCTATCCCCATCTCTTTCCCCACTCAGGCCCATGGACAGCACCAACGGCAGCGTCCACCCTGACTTCCTCCTGCTGGGGCTTTCCAGCCACCCCGGCCAGGAGCACCTGCTCTTCTCCCTCTTCTTCTGCATGTACCTCCTCAACCTGCTGGGCAACCTACTGATCCTGCTGCTGACCCGCTCCGACCCCCGCCTGCGCGGCTCCCCCATGTATTTCTTCCTCAGCCACCTCTCGCTGGTGGACGTCTGCTTCACCTCCACCACCATGCCCAAGATGCTAGCCAACCTGCGTGCCCAGCGCCAGGGCATCCCATACATCGGGTGCCTGGTGCAGATGTACTTCTTTGTGGCCTTCGCCATCACCGAGAACTTCCTGCTGGGTGCCATGGCTTTGGACCGCTACCTGGCCATCTGCCGGCCCTTGCGCTACGCCGTCCTCATGAGCCCTCTGCGGCGCCAGGCGCTGGTGGGCTCTTCCTGGCTGCTGGCCCATATCCACTCCCTGTTGCACACCCTGCTGATGTCCCGGCTCTCCTTCTGCGGCCGCACCCGCCTCCCGCATTTCTTCTGCGACTTCCAGCCCTTGCTGGCCTTGGCCTGCTCCCGGAAGCGGCTCAACGAGCTACTCAGCTTCTTGGAGGGGGGCGTCCTCATCATCGGGCCCTTCCTCCTCATCGTCCTCTCCTACGCCCGCATCCTCTGGGCCGTGCTCCGGGTGCCCGAGAGGCGCGGCAAGGCCTTCCAGACCTGCGGTGCCCACCTGGCCGTGGTGGGGCTCTTCTATGGCACGGCCATCAGCGTCTACTTCCGGCCCCTCTCCAGCTACTCCGGGGACAGGGACAAGCTGGCCACGGTCATGTACACCGTGGTCACCCCCACGCTCAACCCCTTCATCTACAGTCTGCGCAACCAGGACATAAAGGCCGCCCTGAGCCAGGGCCTAGACAGGCTAAGGGGGGCGTGGTGGGGCTGGGGTCAGGAGAGGTAGGGCCGAAGGGCAAGGGGGGAGGGCTAGGGCTGGGATAGGGGAGGAGGTGGGTCTCTGCAGGGTTAGGGGACATGTCCCTGTGGGGAATGAGGGGGCGTGTCCCTAAGGGGCATATCCCTTGAGGGAGTGTGTCCCTGTGGGTAGAGGGCGTGTCTCTTGAGAGGCCATGTCCCCAATTCAATTCCGGGAGCTCGCCGCGTCGCGGTTCGCCGTGAGCGTGTTGATCCGTTTTCGTTTCAACTTTGGCACGACGTCAAATCTCTCTGCCTCTTTCTTGCCACTCCCCGAAGTCGGGGCCGGCGCCGTTACAGCCTGCGGCCAAAACTCCTGATCGTAAACTATCGCGCAGGTTGGTTTCTCTGAGGTCCACTGATCTCCGGTCTGTGGACCAAGTCTTTGGTCGCCCCCTCGGTTCTCATTACAAGAGCTGTTCTACCGACAGAAATCTCCAGTCTCTGCTGGATTATAGTACATTAAATTTAATATATATTATGGATACATGGATGTTACACTCAGACGTGTCCAGTGGCCTTCAACGACCACTGAGGTGGTGCTACATCCTACCCAACTTACTCAGGC